CGCTTGTTTGCCCCCCAGTCAACTCCAAAAAGTCACGTGATTGATAGTAAGCAATTTGATGCTATTTTAAAACCATTCGTTTTTCTGCACGCGCATTTACTGCGCGCGCTCTACGCTGTTTGTTTACGTTTTTGAGGTTTTTCCGTTATTTCGACTCTACCCTAAATATGAATGTGCACGTTGAAAGCTTGGAAAATTGAAGTAGTAACTTTCTGGAGTATTTTTACATTTATTTTCCAAAGCTTTCGACCTACATCGTCATCTTGTGGGCAGATTTGAACATTTAAACATAAGAAAAGCTCAAGAAAACGTAAGCAAACAGCATAGAGCGCGCGCGTAACATGCGTGTGCAGAAAATCAAACGATCAAATAAATGATATCATTGGATGATATTTTTAGAATAGATTCTAAAAACAGCATCAAAGTGTGCACATGATGGGGCACGGGGATTCCTTCTCTTAGTTCATATTCTCTTGATATGTGTTAATATGTACTAAAAAATATTCTGAGCGTTTGCTGGCTATCCTACTTCTCTTCGTGGATTAATACGGGTTTTAGAACAATTTTCGGTGAATTTGCGTTGATTTGACCCCGTACGACGACCATGATCCTTTGCGTTTAATCAATAGATTGTTTTGATGTGACGTCATAGTGAAATCAGGGCAATTGAATTTTAGATATTACATCGACAAAAGGCGTCCCTCTGAAGCGTGTGAGGAGTGCGGAGTGTGCAATACATTAAATGTGTCCGCTGCGTAGGCCTAGGATCCACGGAGAGCAAGATGTTCACTAATTCCACGTGTTAGTGAGTTTTCACTGAAAATATAATACAAATGTACAATCTCGTACCCAGAGCCTGCGTTTCTTCTGGCCTGCGGCGAAGAACGAGGGCTCTGGCATAATCCATTTTTTGAGACCAGGATTTCTTGGACTTCCGGTATAACAGCGAACGCGTTCAAAGACTTGCCAAAAATTTAAAAAAATCCCCCCCCCTGAATTTTAATTTTTACTATGATTTTGACTTTGATTTTGACTTTGATTTAATTTTGACTTTAATCATTTTGATCGGTTGTATCTAACTTTTCGAAAATTGCGCATGCGCCAAAATATGGATTATGCCAGAGCCCTCTTTCTTCGCCGCAGGCCAGAAGAAGCGCAGGCTCTGGGTACGAGATTGACAAATGTATGGAATAAGATTGATATAGTTTTGTATGCGCGCGCATGGCCAAAACTCATAAACTGACATCAATTAACTTTCACTTACTACGTCATAATGCACATTACGTCAAAGTTTCGTTTTTTCATTTTTAGTTGCGAAAATAACCTTGCATGCAGAGCTAGTTCGAAGTGACGAATGAAATAAGTTGGAACTGAATTGCAATTTTAGTTTTATAATCGAAATTTTCATTGAAAGTTATCAATTATTTTGGAACGGTGTACGACGTAGGACAGAGTAAAAAGAGAGTTTTCAAGGTAGGGATGTTTTGGTTACATTGCATATGATAATATTTAAATATATCATTTTTCGTGGTCTATATCTTGCAGGATTTGTCCAATCGTCATCGATTGAGGTCTATCAAGGGGAGAGGTATTCTAAGGAGAAAAAAAGATCCCTCACCGATCTCTTGTAAACTTTCAAGAATCAGTGATGAATCTTATTGTCTCCTTAGTTCGATCAGGATTGGTCATGATATGAAAGGCTTTTGATAGGGCGTCCTCCCCCGCTTGCGACAAATTTCAAGGAAGGAAGGAAGGAAGGAAGGAAGGAAGGAAGGAAGGAAGGAAGGAAGGAAGGAAGGAAG